ATTGGCCGTTGTCTTCTCTTTATAGTTTGCGTACCATTTGCTCTCTATGAACTAGCATTGGTCCCGGCCCGTTGGCCGGTGGAGTCTAAAATCGGTACGTCATATGTGTACTCTTGTATTGGCCAGTGGAGCATGAAATACGCAAGCAATACGACTCCATCAATTTGAATTTTTAACTTTAAAAGCTCTATGCTTGATTTTGATTTTCAGCTTTAGATAATTGAGTTCTCCAAGGAATTTTATTAAGGCTGTGTAACTCCATTTTGCAAATAGGCTAGTAGTTGAAAATTGAAATAAGAGAGTTTGCAATCACTGACTTTGCTGATTGCTTTATTGGAAAGGGTTATAAATTTTGCAGTTTTACCTTTTCCTTGTTTGATTTGAATGTATCTTAAAGTGTTAAAGTCTAATTGTTGATTAAGAAGAATCTGGCTCCTTTCTTTCGTGTGGTTCAGCAAATGATAAGACTCCAAGTTTGGTGAATATGGGTTGGGAAGAACCGAGCAAGACTTATCTGCTGATGTTGATAAACAGTTTCCATCTTCTGTGCAGAAAGCAACTTTGAGAGATGTGCAGAATCAAAATAGGGCCCATAACTTCAGCAACAATTCTCCATTTCTTTGCTGACAGTTTCAATTTGTTATAAGAAACCACTCAAATGACGACAAATAAGCTACTAACCAAAAGGAAAATTAAAATCATGAAATAAAAGATGAGACATAACTTGATAAACCTTGGGAAGCAATATGGGCAAACGTTGTAGGATCATAGTCACAAGAAATCCAAATTGATACTGTCAAAAGTGATTCACAGACGTGCTGCCAAGTAAAACATAAAATCTAACGTGTAGTTGTGGCACACGCATGAACAATAAATAGGTGATGTAATCACCTAAATAGACCGATGTAAATTCAAACTTCAAATTCATAGTATGTACAATCTAAAGCTTCAAACTTAGTGAAAACCAAAGCATCCAGAAACAACCCATAAGTGAGCAATATAATACTAAACATAAGGCTCACAATATGGCCTTAACCAAACAAAGTTTCCACCAATACTACTTACCTTCGTCAGAGTCACAGTCAACCCCTTGTTCTCTTTTTCAGTCCTGTAAGGTTGTCCCGCCAAGATTCTGAGTACTTGGATTAATGCTATTGATTTCCTCCAAGATAGGTGTTGCCTCTGTGACGGTTTTACTTGATGCTCACTCAATTGTTGCAATCAGATTAGAGTAATAGGAGAGCTTAAAAAGGTAAAACTAAGATGATATCATTTAGGTAAATGAATTTAAGTACTTCACTTACCACAAGCAGTTCGTGATCCACTCTTAAGTCTTACCATAGAGTACCTAGCTTGAGGATTCAAGAAATTAAAGTCAGTACATTTAACATGTAATTTGAGTCGTATTAATAACTTGTTGGATCGGTGGAGGAATGGGTTCTTTCTTCTTATGGTTTGATTGGAATACAACATTAGCCCTTAATCCAAAGAAACACAAGCCTTCACACTCCAAAATGGAAGAATAAGCTTCACCAGTATCATCTTGCAAATGGAGTTGCACTCTATACCTATGGCCAAGAAGGAATCCAATTGAAAAAAAGTCCCGAGTTTATACTCTTCCACAATCTCAAGTAATATCATAATCTTATAATAAATTGAAGCAATAAAATGTAGTATCCATTTTTATGAAGCTGAATAAAGATTTCAGCTTTCTAGATACCAAATAGAAGCAAAAACTCATCAAAAGATACCAAATTTGATTCATTATTTATATCATGTTTAGAAGTTATGACTTATCATTGTATAAATAATATGCTATCTCAAGTCATGCTTTCATTCAATCTTAATGAAAATCAAAATACGTACAGAATGAGTATCATCGCCATCTCTTTGGGGCCATTATTGCAATATGTGAAGACCCAAGATAAATCTCAGCAACAAAGGTAACCAATGAGTCAGCGGGAAATGAATTCTTCAAATTGATGCTCCCTTCCTAACCAAGAACATGTCATCCAAAGAACACAACATATGCCATTGTAGAACAAAATCAGTAATACTCTACAATTGGATCGAACTCTCATATGAAAAGGAAACATCAATGGAAGAACAACAGCATGCAAATCCCATTTACATATTGCGAAAAGCCAAAAGACAATGAAACCAAAGTACCAGAACTTACCGAAACAGGGGATATAGCTCCAATTAAGCGATGTGCGAGGTTTCAAGATTTTGCTCAGAAAAACAATGACACCGAGAGAGGCGGGTTGTCCGGGATATTCTGGGTAAAGGACAGTGCTGGAGAGAGACCACAAAGAGGGACAGACAGTGAGAGCGAGAGAGAGGGAGCATGTGGGAGACAGACAGACGACGATAGGGCAGATGGGGGGGGGGATTCCCGGGAGCTTTCAACGACAAAAAAACAAACGCGCCGGTGAGAGGAAGGTGTTTGATTCTGGTATGCGGTAGGGATTGGAAGAGTGAATGTATTGGGAGAGTTGAGACGGTGACAGAGGCGTTCAATTTTCGGTGGGAGATTGAATTCACAATTCAGAATGCGAGAAAGAGAAGGTTAGTAATTTACGAAAGAAACCCTCCGCATTGTGCGGCCGTTTCAGGAGGGGCTTATGTGGCAAAACCTGTATTTTGACATTGCCTTAATGTATTTTGTAGATTAAACTCCGATCCATTAGTCGTTTAGAGGAGATGAACTCTAGATTGTTATATGCAGATTGAATATTTGGTGAATGTGAACCTAGATTGTTATCTCTATGACTCTATCTATATGTGAGCAATTGTTGATTATATAACCTATTCTTTGCTTGATTGACCCTTTGGCATTGTGGGCCATAACCTAAAGTAGGAGAAGAATATTCACTTAGGTTAGGGTGAACACAATCAATTGTTAAGTAATTTACAACTGCATTACCGTTATGTTGTGAAATATACTTTTTGAACCTGTGACGACCTACCTAAGTCAAATTCCTAGATTCACCCACTGACTATAGGCCAAAAGGATTGTGAAACCGTATAAGAGGTGGTACCGGAAAAGTCAGTAACAGAGTATTTTATACTAAAACTGTGAATTAACCGCATTTCATACCGCTGAAAACGGCCCTATTAATTTTAGACTCCAATATAATAATTTTTTCAATCAGTCCGCTGATGCGATATGGCCGCTAACACAATTATCACAACCTATAAGCGAAGAGTCAAAGAGAAAATCTACCAAATAATATTCCAACATACAAAAATCCCTCTATAGTATATAGCCGTTCTTCAGGAGATTTTGAGCATTTTAAATTCCTTGCACTCTCCTTAATTGTAGCTAGGGGTAAATTTATAAGTTCAACTTAGAACTTAAATATCTTTTTACGAGAAAAAAATGTCATTACCAATACTTGAACTCGAGTCCTTCAAATTGACAGTCAATATCCCTAACCAACTAGACTACAACAATGTTTATGTATTTTTTGAATTAAAAGAGACAAAATACTGAAATATCTCAAAATCATAGGACTATCCACCGCAACAATCAATCATCGAATTAATTAATAACTGTAATTTTTTACAAAGTGAATCATCATGATATACCTAGCTTTATGAATCAACTAAGTGAGTTCTTCTAATCACACAATTCTTCACCAAGAATCAAATAGTACATTTTTAGTTTATGTATGTCTTACAACTTTTACATTTATTAGGTTACATGACTTTGCAGTTTGTAGGAATACAAGGATTGTTTACAAAAGTGTTATACAAAATTTTATTTCAAAACATAAAATTTGACATTTGTGATCTATGGTTTTGTAACGAGACATTTTCAATGCTATAATTGAATGACCAAAAATAATTGGCTAACAATTTCTCTAATGGTTGAGAATAATGAGCATAGAATTGAAAGACTAAATACCATTGACAAATGAGCCAATTATCATTGGCTAAATTTAACAAACAATGGTATGTGTATATACATTGGAAATTATATGGTACGCTCGATGGATTGAGGGTTATTGCATCTCCTTAGTTAAATAACATTATCTGGACCATAGATTAATCATGTAACTAAACCCTATATCATAATTCTCTAAATCCTAATATAGTGCATATGGTATGTTGTATACATCTTGTCGAATCAGAATCATTGATTATGTTCTTAGTATATGTGATATTAGGGTTTAAGTTCTATAGGTTTAGGGTATATGATTTAATTATTTGAAACTTAATCTCCCTTTTCAAATTTCCTGCAATGAGAACAACATTAGGAAGGATATTTTTGTCTTCACAATTATCTGTATTTTTTATTTATTTACAGAAAAAGATAGACATATTGAGATTTGAACCATGGTCACTTCAAACAAAGTAAAGGTTTAAAATCAATCAGACTATGATTTGTTGTATTTATTTTAATTAAAAATATATACGAAGCTAAAATATGAAATCACAAAAATTTTCAACAGTTAGCTAGCCCAATAAATATTCCGTAAGTACTTAATTGGTGTTTTTATACTTCAATTTTGATATTTTATTTAATTATAGTTTAATACTTAGTTTAAAATTTTATCTATATTATAAATAGACAATAACCATAAATTTGCAACCAAAATATTTTTAGTTCGAATATTTCATATCAAATTATAGTATTGAATATGTAGAAGCTATATAGAATTCTTAAATTATCATTAATTTCCAGAACTATAGTGAATCAATCATATCTTTATGCAAACTATAGGGGACTGGTTCTCTAAACATTTTTGTCCGGATAAATACTAAGTTTTGAAACTCTTCCTAGGGGTGTGCGTGGGTTGGTTCATTTGGGTTTAGATATTTTAATCACCTAACTCATATCCCACGATTTTGAAAACACTAAATACAAACTCACCCAAATAATTTAGAATTTTAACGGTTTGTGCCCTCCATACCAAATGACCAATTTACATGTCGCTTAACTAAGGACGATCTCATTGTCCAATCCCATCATTCTAATGTCAATCCATAAAAGTAACCCATATTCGCGTTTGTTAACACGTGTTTCACATTGTCATTACTGTGACCGGTAACTTCGCTGCAACTGATTCGGTATTGCTCATCATATGGCCTCCAAACTGATAAACATATGGGGCCAGCAGTTTTATGACAAAACTCAAAGTGAAGACAACTCATCGTCTGGTGGAATTTTTGCGTTTGCTGGTGTCCATTAATCTAATTGCAAGCATAATGATTGCTAAAATTAAGCTTTCACGCAACACACTGGGAGTTGGGGGTGCGTACTTGGAGTAAAAGTTGATATTGGGTTTGGGAAGGGATTAAGGGAAGTGGTGAGGGGAAGAAATTGTGTTTGGATTTGGTAGCAAGTAAGGTCCTGTTCACTTTCAATTTCGTTTTCTGTTTTTCGTTGTCAAAACAGAAAATTTAAAAACAAAGTGAGAAAACGTGTTCACTTTGGTTTTCGTTTTCATTTGTGGCAACCATTTGACAAGAAAAAGAGGCAGCTGACGAAAACAAAAAAAAATGGTTTTCCTGAAAAGCCAAGGACGGGTTTCATCCCGTTTTCTCCGAAAATTTTTAATGAGGTCTGCTCTTCGAGACCTAGCAACCTCATTTTATCTATTTTTTTTGTTGTTTTTGTTTTGAAGACTCATTATCCAGCCCCTCTTGGCCTCCTCCCTTCGTAACCCTACTCGACCCTCTGCCCTCACCATAGACGACTGAACGAAGACGCTGCAGCTGCTGCGCCGCCTCCACACCTCTTCTTCTCCCGACGACGGCAGTGACCAACAACACGATTCTCGTCGCCTTCCGCCATCTCGCAGACCGTGCGCCTCGTCTCAGCCCGCTCGCCGTTCACGATCGCGCCGCCTCCACATCTCTTCTTCTCCCGACGACGGCAGCGACCAAAAACACGATTCTCGTCGCCTTCCGCCATCTCGCCGACCGTGCGCCTTGTCTCAGCCCGCTCGCCGTTCACGATCGCGCCGCCTCCACACTTCTTCTTCTCCCGACGACGGCAGCGACCAAAAACCCTCGTCTAATTGCCGCCGGCGGTCGTTACTGAAGAGGGGAAGCTGCTCGAGGAAGTCGTTGCTTTTCGGGGTTGAAATAGGTATTGAAAGCATTCTATTCCTTCTCTATTTAATTTGAATCTGAAAGCCTTTCGTTCAACGGGAAAGGTGGCCGCTTCTGATGATCGTTGGGAGAAATGGTCGAAGCAGGTAATTGAACATATCGTTCAATTTCATTAAATATATGTTTCAATTTTGAACTTAGAATTGATTAGAACGTTCATGTGTAGGCTATAAAAGGTATTACCGGCTTTAGGAAGAATGGTTGTCCAGAATACAACAACCTTTGCATCCTATTTGGTGACACTACTGCTTCCGGTAGCAATGCTTTTGTTTCCACTCAAGAAGTCTCAGATAGCAGTGGTGGACAAAGCAGAGAGGACAATGAGGAAGGTTTTGTTGTTGCTGGTGATGCTACAGAGCATGCCAAGGAAGCAAAGGGCAAAGCAAAGGTCAAAGGCAAGAAGAGGAAAGCAAACAAATCCACCTATTCAACTGCGGTAGAGATGGCAATAATTAGCATGGCGGAGGAGGCTAAAAGGAAGAATGATAGGCATGATGCCAAGACTGCTGCATCTTCTGTGAAAGGCCCAATGAATGAAGTATCTTCGCAGGACAAGGACCTAGATATTATGACAGAGTGTATGAAGGTTTTAGATGAGATGGAGGTGGATGGTAGTGTGTTTGTCAAGGCTATTGATGTTCTTCATGATAATCCACTGAAGCGTGGTATCTTTCTGCGCATGACAGAGAAGAGAAAGAAGGAATGGCTGCAAGGTTTGGTGTGATTGTACGACGCCGACATTGAGTGTTTTTGTTTGATTGTCTGTGTTTGAGTGTTTGTGGTTGTATTTTTAGTTGAACGATGTTGTTGAGTTGAATATTTGTGTGATTGTGGTTATATGTTTTAGTTGAACGATTATCTTATTATGGTGTAAGCACAATTTCAATAAAGTTTGATTGTAATTTCTTATTGTGCAATGCAGACAAATGGCTTCTGATTCCGATACAGATTCCGATGATGATTTGCAGAACTTCTTGTTGCATTTATGGTTGTTGGAGACAGAGAGATCCAATGTGTCAAAAGTGCCATGCAGAACCTCAGACAAAACAGGGCATGCTTGGGTTAAAGAGCTTCTTCATGGTAATCCAAGAAGGATATATGAGCAATTTCGGATGGACAAAGATACGTTTCTTGCTCTTTGTGAGGAGTTGAAACAAAATGGTGGGTTAAAAGCCACGAAGAGAGTCACAGTTGAAGAACAAGTTGGCATCTTCCTGAAGACTATAGGTCACGCTAATGATTTTAGAGACGTTGCCGAAAGGTTTCAACATTCAACGGCCACCATCTCAAAGTACTTTGACAAAGTATTGAAAGCTGTGGTCAAGCTTTCGAACAAGATTATTGTTCCCCCAAATTTGGATAACGTCCCTGACAAAATTGTTGGTTCTAGACATGATCCATATTTCAAGGTAAAGGAATACTTACTCCATAGTTACTGTTACAACATTTACAACTTCTGTTGATCATGTTCACTTTTGTGTTTACATAGGATTGCATTGGAGCTATAGACGGAGTGCATATTGATGCATGTGTTCCTACTGCTGAACAAATTCCATATCGAGGACGAAAGACGACAACAACTCAAAATGTGGTGTGTGTATGCTCCTTCGATATGCTTTTTACCTTTGTGGTGGCTGGATGGGAAGGCACGGCAAATGATGCTAGAATTCTTAGTGAAACAGTTTCAAATCCAGATAACAAGTTTCCGATGCCACCATGAGGTACTTATTATTGTTTGTACATAAATAAATCTCATTTTATTATATACTAATTGACTTTCTGTATACAATGTAGGTAAGTATTATGTTGTTGACTCCGGATTTGCGAACATGCCTGGGTTCCTAGCACCATATCGAACAAAGGAGCCTACTCATTTTCAAGAAATCAATCGAGGTGGTGGACCCAAAACTCGTAAGCAATTATTCAACTATTATCACTCATCCCTACGCAATGTCATCGAACGTTGCTTCGGAGTTTTGAAGGCCATGTTCCCAATTCTGAAACATATGCCTTCTTTTTCATTAAAGAAACAAGCACAAATTGTTATTGCTACATGTGCTCTGCATAACTTCATTAGGATTCACTCTTGTGAAGATATCCTATTTGAAGATTATCAAAATTATTATATGGAGGATGGCGTTAATGGAGTGCAAGGAGGGCTGGAAAGAGAAGAGTACAGTATGAGTTCAAGCCGGACACGACAAATGGAAATTCGACGTGATGGAATAGCGGACAAGTTGTGGGATGACTTTCAAGCTGGACTCCTTTGACATTTGTGATTGTACTTCGACTTATTTGATATTGAAGTATGGACTAGTATCAGGAAATTTGACAGATTCTCATTTTTAGGTCTAGTAACCAACTAAACAGGTTTTCATTTTCAGATTACAGTTTCCAGTTTCACAAAAAATCCCAGCTAAACAGGTTTTCAGTTCAGGTTTTCAGTTGCCAAAATGGCAGCTTCCATTTCTCCAGATTTCGTTTTCAGTTGCCAAAATGACAGAAAACGGAATGGGAAGTGAACAGGACCTAAAGTTCATGGTTCAGTTTCTTTTCGTAAAATGCTTTGATTTATTTTAGTTAGAGGCATAATATCATGGTTATGTGGGATCAAATGAACCAAAAATTAGCTTGGGGGATGGGAATTCCAACTTAGAAGGAGTGGATTAGATTTTGATAAACTCAAGTTCATGTTAACAGAAAGAATATTTAGATTTAGACTTGGTGGTATTGAGATGTTCATAGAGAGTCTAAAACTGATACAAGGCCATGGATTGATATTGGTTAGTTGATTGTGATTTTGAGGAAGGTGTATAAAAGTCATGGAAGTAGTTTGCAGCAAGTGAAGGCAGTAAAGAGGCAGTTGGTCAAGGTAGTGATTGAACCAAAGAGGGTATTGAAAGACATAGAAGCAAAATCTGAGCAGTTGAAGAGAGAGAAGTGGTAGATGATCAGGATATTAATGACAATGGAGAGGGTATTGAAGGCCATGGAAGTGAATTGGATCAGGTGAAGGCAGAGAAGGAGGAGAAGAGCATATTGATGGAATTGAATATGAGTGTTGGTTTTACGAGCTTATTAAAACTGCCCCGAGGAAGATGAGTTGGCCAAATACAAGAAAGAGGAATGAGGAGTTGCAGATCAAACTGACAAGAAACTCAATTGAAAGAGAAATTCAGGTTCATGGAGAGAAGGTCCATCAAAGTAGCATAAATGGAGTTGTAGAAGGAGGATTAAAAATTGAATTTTGGTTTAAAACATATACGTCGAGAGATTGAAGATGAAGGGGATAAAAAGTTGGTTGTACAACAGAGAGTAGAAACTATTGGATCTTTAGATGTTATGGTTGTTGCAACTACCACAACCTATGTTTATGTTAAAAACGAGGAATCATTGATTGATTTACTAAAGTTAAGGTCAAGCACTATTCAAACTACTGGAACCTGTAGATAAGGAGTGTCTAAATTTGTGCTCATTACTTTGACTGAGTCTATTAGTATATTGGATGTAACTCTAATTTTGTCATTTGCTTTCAAGTTTTGATGGTTTCCTTTTAGTTGAGTTGTTAGCATATGATTTACTTGAATCAACAACTCTTCATTTTTTTTATAAATCCATTTCCTTTTTATTAGTGGCATATTATTCATAGAGGAGAGCTTTGAACAATTTATGTGGGATTGTGAGGTTTCATTTCAGGTTCAAACTATCTATGGATCGTGTGGGAATTCCAATGAGCTTTTATATTATATATTTCTGGATAATCTATTAACCAATATCATTTTAATGGGGGCTCAATTATCATTATGAAAATGGGATTAATGATACATTTTTATATTCTTAAATGAGGAGGGTATTTTCCTGAATATTTGACCTATATATTCATTCTTTATGTAGAATCTCGAATGATTTTCAATAAACTTAAACAAATTAATAGACTTAAACATAACATAAAAAATTTAAATATTAAAATATGAACATTCCGGCCAACGGGCCGAATTATAAGCTAGTAACAAGAAGGAAAATGCAATGGCTGGCATATACTCATTATCTTATCCCCCAATGGCCATTACCTTACACCTCCCCAACAACATCACTCCTGCACGATACTCATCACTACCTAGCCAGTTTACTACCAACCAACCTCACGTCGATTTCCATTTCCAAAACCCAAAAAAACACAAACAAATTCCTTCCAGGCTAACAGCCATAGCCAGCGCCCACCGAAACCACCAAACAACAGCGAAGAAGGGATTAATTTCCTAAATACACATAAAAGTAAAACAAATTTCTAAACTATCACATTTATAAAAAAAATTCCCAAAATATCTAAATTTGGAGTGGTTCGAGTTTAAGGAACTCGAACTACTAACCGGTTCGAGTGTAGGAGACTCGATCTAGTCGTAGATCGATGATATAAGCCTCGAACCATGTGGGGCTGAAGTGGTTCGAGTTCAGTGAACTCGAACCATTCCTTTGAAATTTCCAACAACCTTAACTTTGTGCTCAGTTATCCGATCGTAGCAAACTTTTTTTATTTTGCATAACTTTTGGAAATATTTTTAGAATATATGTGAAAAATAAAGTTAAAATTACTCCCAAACCCCCTTACATTAAAAACTATTCCTATTTTGAAAATTTATTCCTAGTAAATGTTGTAGTACTCAAAAAATTATACAAAATAAAAACAAACTTTGTGACGTTCGGATTGCGGAGCACAAAGTTATGATCCTCCAAAATTTGACAAATTCAAAAAATTTGCTCGTTTATGGGTAGCAAATGACGTTTTCTGGGAAGATAGCCATCCAAAAATTTATCGTTTGGAAAAATATTGCTCTTTTGGCAGAAATTCCCTATATATAAAAAAATTTCCCCGTGCCTTCGCCCCGAGAAAATGTCATTTGTTACCCCTAAACGAGCAATTTTTCGATTTTGCCAAACTTTAGAGGATCATAACTTTGTGCTCCGCAATCCGAATGTCAAAAGTTTTTTTTTTATTTTGCATAATTTTTTGAGTACTAAAACATTTACTAGGAATACATTTTCAAAATAGGAATAGTTTTTAATATAAGGGATTTTGGAAGTAACTTTAACTTTATTTTTCATATTTTCACATATATTCTGAAAATATATAAACTATCAAAGTTGTAGTCCTCGAAAAATTATGCGAAATGAAAAAAAAGTTTGCTACGATCGGATAACCGAGCACAAAGTTAAGGTTGTTGGAAATTTCAAAGGAGTCGATCTACGACTAGATCGAGTCTCCTACACTCGAACCGGTTAGTAGTTCCAATTCCTCAAACTCGAACCACTCCAAACTTAGGTATTTTGGAAAAAAAAATTATAAGTATGATAATTTAGAAATTTATTTTACTTTTATTTGTATTTAGGGAATTATCAGAAATTGCAACAGGAAAAAAAGTGCAACGTTAAAATACAGGGCCGAGAGTGACTGATAGGGAAGCAAGCCGGCAAATTCCCTCCTCTCCTTATAGATGTTCCCGAAGCTCCCTCCTCCAGTTCTCTCCTAGCTAATTCGATCCTCTCGTTCAGTCCCAAGCTACAACTAGAAACCCAGAAAAAACCCACAACATAAAAACAACAATTCTCCTCTCACACGCATTACGTCGAACACCATAGCTGCAATATGGATCCCTGCCCATTCGTCCGCCTAATCATCGAATCACTAGCCCTCAAGCTCCCCTTTGCCACCAAGCCCGCCGGCTCCGGCGTCCACCCCACCGCCACCCCCTGCTTCTGCGTCCTCAAAATCAAGGGCTTCCCCACCCAAACCGCTCTCCTGCCCCTCTGCTCCTCCTCCAATTCTTCATCCCACGACGACTCCTCCGGCCCCGACACCGCCACCTCCGCGCCCGGGTTCCACCTCGACGCCGCCACCCTCCGCCGCGTCTCGGGAAAGCCGGTTTCCCTCCGGGTCTCGGTCTACACCGGCGGGATGGGCCGGACCTGCGGGGTCAGCGGCGGGAAGCTGCTGGGAAAGCTTCAGGTGAGCGTGGATTTTGGGAAGAATGCCGAGTCCTGTAGGTCGACTGTGTTTCAGAACGGATGGTTGACTCTCCGGTGCCAGCCGGGCAAACCCGCCGCGAGAATTCACTTGGCATGTCGCGCCGAGCCCGAGCCGCGGTTCGTGTTCCAGTTCGACGGCGAGCCCGAGTGCAGCCCCGTTGTTTTCCAGATCCAGGGCAGCATCCGGCAGCCGGTCTTCAGCTGCAAGTTCAGCGCTGACCGGAATTCCCGCTCCCGGTAAGTTAAAAAAAAAAACATCACCTTTCTCTTCACATTTTTTTCACCGCCGAACTTTACGGAGCGCTTTTTAGCCGGGTTGCAATGGAGGGATGCTAACCTGCGCCGTAATGGTAGAATTACTGCAATCAATTCTTAATTGATGGGTATAAACGCAACCGTCGACTAATAATTAAATCGTCAATGAAAGAGCCTTTCATATCACCGAATAAGATATTTCGATCATTTCTCTATATCGTTCTATGGGATTATTTAGTGGGGTAGTGTTGAATTAAATTAGGGATAAAGGATAATCTTTTATGGTTGGGTTTGTCAATAAGTCATTTAGGAGGGACCCTATGTAGGCTAATTTCTCGCTTGTTATTGGTGTGTTGTGTGATGAAAGTTCTTCAAAAGGGCATGTGGGTTTGTCAATCTATTTTTTCCTTTATAGATTAGCTTTGCTAGCTGGTAACCAACACCCACACATGGCCTTGCTGTTCCAAAAATTTGGGCCGCCACCACCACCTTATCTATTTCATCATTCATGTCATTGTGTGGTTTCCTTCTTCTTTCATGGCAATGGTAATAATGTTCATGGTCAAAGTACCCCTTGGTTCTTAGCCTCCAATCCAAAATCGACTCCATAGTGCCTTTTTGTACTCTTTGGTGAAATTTCACACAATCAAGATTCAAATTCATCCCCGTTCATCGCATGTATATTCAGATGTGTAAAGTGGCTGCAGCTTATCGTGTCGAGCCTCTCCTCCCTCTAAGGTTTAGTTTCGCCATCGATCCTATGTTGTGGTTCCCTTAGCAGTTGTAGAAACCAAAACCCATTTTAGTTTTCTTGTCACTTGTCACTAGTTAGTAGCTAGTTGTGGTTTCATTTTCATTTGTGGAATCCAAAGCCCTTCTTAGTTTTTTCTTGTTAACTGTCATTAGCGGGTAGCTGGCTAATAGTTGGCGACTAATTTGCAATCCTAGTTTTTTTGTCATTATACTTTATCCCGGGTAGCTAGGAGGATGATTAATACTATGTCTTTTTATTGTCGTTTTGTGCCATAATAATGTGTTAAAATCACTAACTAAACCGGTTGGTTTGGTCAAACAAAGACCAAAATATATTCCCGAATCACTCAACCGTCGAACACAACAACAACAGGATTCCATTACCATGTGATAAAATCTGCTTCAACTTGATCTTGATGCCTTGGTAACCAACCAAATCTTCTTAAATACGTGATTAATAACCTCTTTGCATCTCATTGACTGTTCAAGATCTTCCATAATCAGCCGCTTAATCAACCCAATTACGATCTCTGACCCTTTGTGAAATTTTGTTCTTTCCAGATCCCTGCCCTCAGATTACAACAACGCATCTTCCTCCAACGGCGCTTGGACCAAAACATTCTCCACCCGGGAGAGAGAAAAGGCCAGCCGGCGGGAACGAAAGGGATGGATGATAATGATCCACGACCTCTCCGGTTCGCCCGTAGCCGCGGCCTCAATGATCACCCCGTTCGTCCCTTCACCCGGGTCGGACCGGGTCTCCCGATCCAACCCCGGGGCCTGGCTGATCCTCCGACCCCACGGGTTCTCGGTCAGCACGTGGAAGCCGTGGGGCCGGCTCGAGGCGTGGCGGGAGCGCGGCACCGTGGACGGCCTGGGGTACAAGTTCGAGCTGATGACCGAGAGCAACGGTCGGGTCGCGATAGCCGAGGGGACCGTCGGGGTGAAGAAGGGCGGGCGGTTCGAAATTGATGGGAGGACGGTTCGGGGCTCGGTTTCTCGGTCGGCCTCGGTGAAGGGGTTCGTGATGGGTTCGACCGTTGAAGGGGAAGGCAAGGTTAGTAAACCCGTGGTTCAGGTTGGGGTTCAGCACGTGACCTGCACGGCCGATGCGGCTCTGTTTGTGGCGCTATCCGCTGCGGTCGATCTCAGCATGGACGCTTGTAGGTTGTTTTCGAGTAAACTGAGGAAGGACCTTTGTCACGATGATCAGGATGGTTTGTGAAGTAATCGCGGTAAATGTTTTTTTTAGTGCGGTGATGACCAATAGGGTGGGAGTGGCAGTAAAAAAAATATTAACTGTTGGTTTGAGCGAGTGGTTAATTGTTGGTTTAATTTTGATTTTTGGCCTCTTTTCACTGGGTTGATGATTGGGATGAGCTGTAATTGGGCTTAACTGGCAGGAGGGCCCATGGATCGTTTGGTAGATGGAGGGGGAAAAGAGAGAAGAAGGAAAGGTTAGTTTGTAGCTGGATTTGGTTGACATCACACCACCCAAGTCTCCTTGTTGCTTGGTTTTGTGTAGGGGAATTCTTTTGTTGTTATTTATTAAATCGGTAATTTTGTACAAGTTAATGGTTTAATGTATAGAAAAAATTGAGGAATTATTTTGTTAATAATCATAAAAAAAAATTTCTGGCGGGAGCTTTTAGATAAGTACTTTTCAAAAAAAATAGTTGAGTGTTTGGCTGTAAAACTATTAGAAGTATTTTTTAATATGAGAATTTGTGTAAAATGACTATAAATGACTTATAATATAAAATATGAATAAAAATATAAACAATAAAAAGTAGTCAAAATGGATATTGTTAGATTTCTTTTATATTAAATAATATGATTTTATAATTTATTTTATTTTTAAAATGATATAAATAAAGAAAAATTATGTTTTCTGAAATAAAATTAAAATATGGCAAGGATAATCTTGAATTTTCAAAACAGCTTTTCGCAGGAGGTCCAAATCGGAGCTTCTACTTTTATGTTATACAAAAGTGATTTTCAACTTTTCAAAAACCGAGCTTTTAGAGGTGTTTGGCCCTGCTTCACCTTTTAAAGCCGAAAAGCACTTCTAAAAGCCGGGCCAAACATAGGGATTAGAGGAATCGTACGTTTAAGAGAAAATGAATCTCCTTGATTGATCTCGTGATAAATTTAAGACGAAAGGTAACCACACGAAATTTATGAGGGTAAAAGTAATAAGAGGTGTAAAAAAGGGAAAAGATCACCAAAACGCTGCGTATTGATCCCCCTCCCTCCATTCCCGCCATCAACTAAAATTAGTCAAAACAAAAAATAGCCGGATCCCTTGGAGTAATAAAAGCAAGAAAGAACGGGACCACACCAACAGACGCGCGATTTCCTCCGCCGTATCGGCTGCCGCGAATTCTCATCTTGTCAGATTATCTCACCGGAGACCCGATCAGAAACCAGAGATTCGAATCCGGATTAAAATAAAAACGAAGTAGTACCGAATCCTTCTCTGGTTTCCTTCAATCGCCACAATGGCCGCCATCGTAGTACGGATCTTTCTGATTTCAATCCTCTGCCTGATCGGCCTCGCCTCCGCCGCCCAATCAGTCATACGAATGCCCAGCGACCGAACGGCCGGCGAGACGGACAGTTTCTGCAACAGCTGGAGGCTATCGGTGGAGACGAACAACGCGGGGTTGTGGTCGACGCCGGAGGGATGCCTGGGGTACCGAGTGGATTACTTCACGGGAGTCCAGTACGCTTCGGATTTGACGGTCGTGGCGTCGGATTCGATCGCGTTCGCCAGGAGCGTGACGCCCGCCGGGGACGGGAAGGACGGCTGGGTTTTCGACGTCGACGAGACTCTGCTCTCCAACCTACCGTTCTACGAGAAGTTCGGATACAGGTATCGTTTTCCAGCCGTTGGATTGGATTGGATTTTGCATTTTTTGGGAAGTCCCTGAAGTTATTTCATTTCCCCGTGAAGGTCCTCAAACTTTTTAGTTCTTGGATTTTCTTGCTAATAGAAATTTAGGGAAGAGATCGCATTCTTTTAGAAATGGGAACGAGATTAACTTTGATATTTGTTTTTGGCCGGCCGGCCGGCGGTGACAGCGCCGAGTCGTTCAACGAGGAATTGTGGAACGAGTGGGTGAATTCGACGGCGGCAGAAGCACTGCCGGAGAGCCTGGGGTTGTACAGGGAGCTGAAAGAGCTAGGGTTCACAGTGTTCATCCTGACAGGACGTGACGAATTTCAGAGGAATGCAACCACAGCCAACCTCCTGGCCGCAGGTTTCAGGGATTGGGAAAAGCTAATCCTGAGGTGAGTCATCAATCAATCAATCAATCAAATGCGAATTTGAATGTGTGCCCCTAGGATGACGAACAATCAACGATATTCGTGTCGAATGCAGGGGGAAATCCGATCGAGGGAAGCGAGCAGTGGTGTACAAATCGGAGAAGAGGCAAGAGCTGGTGGATCAAGGGTACAGGATTCATGGCAACTCTGGCGATCAATGGAGTGATTTGTTAGGCTACGCCATGGCGGTGAGGTCCTTCAAGTACCCTAATCCATTGTACTACATTGCCTAGTTCCTCTGCTGCTGCATATATAACGTAGCATAACAACCAACGACGGAATGGCGGCGGCCTGATCTGCAGCCTCTCGTCATTCCTTCTTTTTTTTTTTTTTTTTTATGTATTAGGGTTCGTAGCAGGAAATCCTTTACAGAAGTTAGCACAGATTTGACATTTTTTTGGTCTTGGATCTTCTGTAGTGGTAAATATTGTAATCTGAGCGGCCTTTTGTGTTCTTCTATCAAAATGTACTGTACATAGTGGTTTTATTACATCATTATAACTTGACTTATTGTGTAAAATTAACAGTTTTTTTAGACGTTTCATCAACTTAGCTTTACTATGCAAGTGGCTGATCGAGTCTCCATGGATGCATATTATGCAAGAGGCGAAGGTGTTCTGGTCTTCTCAAGGTATATCTGCTCAATAAATGAATTTTTTTTTTCCATGAACAATATTGTTTCATTTTCTCCATCCATGTGAATCAAGATTGATCTTAATCTTAGATTAGTTCAAGTCCCCTCCAACTGATGAGACATGGCTGGTTCGTTTCTTACATACGTCACCCTCAATTTGATCGACCAACAACTATATAATGAACCAACATTGGCTCACAAATTTCATGCATGAACAACTATTGGATTGCGCTCCACCCTTCAAATTCCACGAGCAAAAATTAATTTGATGTTTTAGTATACATATCGAAAGATCCAAGATTGGTTCAGTCTATAATGGTTCGGGTCGTTTGGATGGATGAATCTAGAAATGAGTCGATTTGATCAATTGTCTCGTTTTATAAACGAAACAATTAAAACAAGTCAATTTGAATTACCTGCCCCCATCCCAGATAATTGAAATTGACTCAAAACGGATCAATTCAAAATACCTCAGGCAGATTGATCCATCCAAATTTTTGCTGGCAAACGAGGCAATTTGGTACAATTATCTCAAAACGAGACAATTGTATCAAATTGATCTGTTACAATTCCTCACCCAAACGACCCCTCGCAAACTAAGATTGGTACATCACCTTTTATTTGTCGAAATACATGTATCGCCAACAGGTTTGTTCGCTTGCAAAGGATTCCCGAGAGCCACAACAAGAAATGTGATTGTTGTCGCAAAATTTGCTTCGTTCAATAATCGCAAACAAGAGGAAAACCAATGAACCCTAATTTTTTTTAATTCATGAAATGTCCACATAAATACCCTACTCACTAGCTAGTGTCGATTACCCTAGGTGACCTTATTGAACTCTGAATCACCTTTGGTCACTTCGAACACCCCCGGGGTCTATTCAGGGTCACCACGGGTCACTACAACCATCACTGGGTTGATCACATCGGGCACCTTCGGTCACCATCCCCAAGGTCAATCCCCCGGGTCACCATGGGTCACTCCGGCCACCCTCGAGTTCAATCCCCCTAGGTTACCATGGGTCACTCCGCCCATCACCTCGTCGATCACCCCCAGGTCATCTTAGGTGACTCCAGTCACCCCAGGACCAACCACCCCAAGTCACATTGGGCACACTTGGGGTCACCCCGACCAACCTTTGGTTCAGTCACCTAGATCACCCATTGACATTTCTGGGGTCACTCCAGCCAACACAAGGATCAATCACCCAGGTCGATTCGACCACCGCCAGGGTCGATCATCCTAGGTCACCTTGGGTCACTCTGACCAACCCTGAAATCAATTACCTTAATTCACCTTGAGCACTCCTGGGATCATCCGGCCAACCCCATGGTCAATCACCTTGAGTCACCTTGGTCACCCCTAGGGTCATCTCGTTCAAATATGAGGTCATTAATCTAAGGTCAAGGAGAGATGATAACTCCATGAGATGTGGTGTATGGATATTTGGAGAGAGAAGGCATCGTCGGTCGAAGACTTCTCTGATTTAAGCTAGAGAGACCAGTGCAGAAGAGAGCTTACAAGGAGAGAGAGAGAGAGAGGAGCGCGAAGGTGGGAGGGGTAGGGGGCGAAATACAAAAGATTGTAGAAGGTTGGGGAGATCATATTAATGAAGCTTCATCTCTTTTGTTGAAACTTTAGCCAAAGCCCCAAATCGCTCTCATGGGTTCTATCTATAGAGATTGGTTAAGTAGTTTAAGTCGTTCACTTTATCCTCTTCCCCTTTGTTGATATTACTTGAAACTGATTAGCTGTCATCGGCTGGAAGTCACAGGGGTCACATCGGCATGTCTTGAACAAAGCCTTAAATACTCCTAGTGCTTCAAATATTCATCTAACCTAAGTGTATGCACCACAAACCAAATGTGAGAAGAGTACATGTCTCGAGTCTCATAGCGTAGTTAGTAGGTAGTTTGATGTACATTATTGTCTTCACTTGACCCGATCTTGCACATTTTTTTAGTGTAGGTTCATGGTGCAACCTGAGGAGGAACATTGGTAGGATGTGAAGAGCAATTTTCTGGTACCTATGGAGACAAGTTTTGAAAGTGATATAAAGTGCTTAATGATTGGTTATTCAGATTCTAATTATGCTGGAGATGTTGACACAAGGATATCTATGACTGGTTATGTATTCAACCTTGGAGGTTTTATGGTTAGCTGCAAGGCAACTCTGCATTCGACGGTTACTTTGTCTACTACTAAGTCGTAGTATATGATATTGACAGAAGCTGCCAAGGAGGGAATATGGTTGAATGAGCTGGTTAGTGATATGGGTATATGTCATGATTTGACAGTGGTTTATTGTGACTATTTGAGAGGATTAAGGTGAAAAAAGTGGGCATGCCAATAATCTTGCTGATATGTTCACGAAATCGGTTCCACATGGCAAGTTCTAACTTATGCTTGAACTTGGTGAATGTTCTGAGCTGTTGAGGCCCTCGGGGCATTGAGGCAGGGGAGAGAGGATATGAGTACATATGAGATTTGGAGTGAGGATTCAAGTTAAGACGGAGATTTGTTGATATGACTTAAATCAGATTATCTGCCAGATTGGATTAAGGTTAACCTGTTTGGAGAAGTACTATAAATACTTCTCAATCCCTTCGTAATCTTCTTAAAGATAATGAAACTGGTTCTCTCATTCTCGTAGGCTAACTATCAAACATTGTGTTAGTGAACCACATAACTATATTTATTCTTTACTTTTTTTTACATTGTCAACAATTATCCCGATCGATTTTAGACACTCGTCAGTTTTCAAGCTCAACTATTTCAACCTTTGAAATCGACTTCAACCTATATGGCAAAATCGGGACCAATAGTGATGGCAATGGGGCGGGGCGGGTACCTCAATACCCATGCCCCGCCCCATGTTACTACGGGTCAGGGCTGGTAAAACCCGCCCGGGTAAGGGGCGGGGCGGGGCGACCCACTCTTACATGTTATTCGGAAAAAAAATACACGCAAACTTTACTTTTCATGATAAAGTAAAGGAAAAACACTTTATAAATGAAAAATAGTGATAATAGAATGGATAATTGAGTCCAACAAGTTGAAAGATCGACTCTAACTAATTGAAGAAAAATCAAGATATGAAAAATATGTATAGATACAGTAAGAAATTGAGATAGAATGATTAAAAAATGGGGCGAGGCGAGGTAGGGCAGGTCGGAAGTAGATACTCATGCCCCACCCCAAACTAAAACAGGTCCGGTATACTCGCCCGATCGCGAATCATGTCGAGTAATACCCGCGGCCGCGGGATCATTTGAAATTGTCATCACTAGAACCAATCGACCATGCGATTGTACTACAAAGACAGGTTGTTACACCGTAACCATATTGGAATTTGGTTGCTCTTCAAAACTGATATGGTAGGTAAGAAAAAGTTCAATAAAAGACGAAATGTCGTCTGAAGCCAAGAAAAGAGTGGGGACCTACTGTGGTGGTGCAGTGGCTAAACGGGGAGCTACTGTGTTTGTTAGGGGGGCTAATTGCACGGGATACCACTAAATATTGATTTTGTTGCATATTAATCATTTAATTTTTTTTAGTTGTAACTAAACCACATAAATCAACTTCTGGTTGTACCGTTATATTTTCTATCCTTAAACTTAACGGTAAGTATTAAATTGAAATTTTCCGCCTCAATTAGCACTGTGTATAATTACCCTATGCCTCCCTATGTTTTTTCCCCTTCGATATTTATAATTGTTACAGTTTTTACTTTCAAGATCTAATTGAATTGTACTTTGGTTTCCTTACAAGCAATTAAATTTTCTAGACTTAGGAAAGGAAGTGAAATGCAATCTCGATTCGATTATTCTGGGTTTATGATATGTTTTGCGTTGTTGGTGCTTTATACAAACTCAAGCGAAGTAAATAGAAGTTACATAAAAGAAAGAAAGAAATTGTTTTTTCCTTTACGATTATCATATTAATCATGTAGTGATAGTTCTAACAATTTTCAAATTTACGTCTCAATTAAACTAATATTTTGTTGTTGGTTTATTTTTAAAAAGTTCATTTTTACATAGCCTCCAACTCTCATTTGGCTGCAGATGTTGTATCAGTACTAGCTAGCAGTCTGACCAAATTGAATTGTAGAAGAAAAAAGTACAGACAAGCATGTGACGTGGAAAAAAATCCTATAGTTACCATGGTTAAATCGATAAAAAGCATGTCAGATGACCATGTCAGATATCATAATTAGAATTGATTATATCTCACTTTCTAAGTAAAAAAAACTATATTTACCATGATTAAATTGATTGTACAAAGACACCAACAACGCAAAACATATCATAAACCCAAAAAAATCAAATCGAGATTGCATTTCACTTCCTAAGTCTAGAAAATTTAATTGCTTGTAAGAAAGCCAAAGTTCAAATTTGAGGCATAGTGCAAAACATGTCACAAAAACAGAGGGAGACATATTGCAAAATGCAAATTGAGGCGAAAATTTTCAATTTAATACCTACCATTGAGTTGCACACAAATTTGTTTATCCATGATAGTTTAAAAACGATAATAATTATAAATATTGAATGGAGAAAAATAGAGGGAGGCATAGGGTAATTATACATAGTGCAAATTGAGGCGGAAAATTCCAATTTAATATCTACCGTTAAGTTTAAGGATGGAAAATATAATGGTGCAACCGGAAGTTGATTGATGTGGTTTAGTTGCAACTACAAAAATTTAAGTGGTTAATGTGCAACAAAGTCAATATTTAGGTGGTATCCAATGCAATTAACCCGTTGTTAGTAGGGCTGGCAATTTGGTCTAGGACTGTTTGGTTTTACCCGAAACCGGACCGTATAACCCGGATCGGGACCGGACTGGGACCAGATAGCAAACAATCCAATCTCATATTCGGGCTTAGATTTGAGGTAAAAAAAACCCGGATAAAGACCGGATAAGAGTCCCCAACACTCAAATCCCCACAAGCTCAATCTAAAATCAAAATCAAATTGGGACTTGACCGGGTCAAGACCGGAGTGTATCCAATCCAATCTTTGATCCTTATATTCCCGAAAATACCGAACTGGGACCGGATCAATTTGGTCCAATTTAACCGGACCAGACCGTATCGCCACCCCTAGTTGTTAGGTATGGCTCAGGCTATTTGTAAACCTAGAGGTATCCTTCCTTCTTATCGCCCAAAGTTCAGTTCCCTCTTCCTATTTCAATGTTTTCCTTCTTTCACCAGAAAGCCCATTTAATCACAACATTGCACTATTAAATGCCACCGTAAGTACATTCGAACTAGGGCTGGGAAACGGTGCGGTCTGGTCTAGACCAGACCATCTATACGATCTATGGTCCAGACCGAGAGGCTAAAGTATAGACCACATACTATACGGTTCGATCCAGACCACGCTTGTGCGGTCTGGTTCGGTCTGGTCTGGTCCAGATAGACCACACTCAACGAAAAATAAATAATTTGTTTAGTCAACCACACAAAAAATTGAACCAATAGCCAGGAAAAATAATTGTTATTTGCCTTAAATCATTAATCCTAACATGCATGAATAATTTTGATACTCTAAATTTTAGTACATACCAAAGATACAAAGTAAAAGCATCCCAACTTGCACCATAACGTCATAAACATTACATAATGTCATATGAAAACACGATTATCTCTACTCTCTAGTTAAATGTGGTTGTGAATTAAGGAGGGACGAGATTCACAAAACTAAGGTTGAGACTTGGGTGTCGTTTTGGGAGTTGGGAGAGTGGTCGAATGGGCTGTTAACACGTATTTACAAGTCAGTTGGGTCCACGGTTTGGTCCGGTAAACCGCGGTCTAGACCAGACCAGACCAAGAAATCAAAATATAAAATAGTACAGACCATGGACCAGACCAGACCATACTTAACGGTCTACGGTCCGGACCAAACTGTATGGTACGGTTTGGACCATGGTTTTTCTAACGGTCTGGTCTATTTTCCCAACCCTAATTCGAACAGCTATATATGAATCACAAAATGAATCGCTATTTGCCGCCCGTCTATTTACTATTTGCCGCCCGTATATTTATGAAAATGTTTATTTTACCCTTCAACACTTAAAATCCTAACTAAACCTGCCCATCCCGCTGACGAAATTGTTGGCCGAATTTTGTGTCGTCGCTATTGAGAAACAAACTCGCCGCCTCACCTTCCTTTTTCTTCCCGCAAATTTCGGCAATAATTCGCCCATGCCTTCCTTTTTTCCACCGCAATTCCGGGCGACGATTTGCTTCCTTTTTCTTTTTATTCTGCGACGATCTCGTCGACGAGTGAATCGCCGAAATGGTTGGTCTTCGCCGGAATCAGAATGGTCCGCCCGCCGACGTCGGACGGGGTTCGCCCGCCCACGTCGGACCTGTCACCGACAACTTTTTCTTTCCCCAAAAATCTCTAATAAACAACGTTCCCTTAATTAACACGTCTTTCCTTAATTAACTCGTCTAATTTCATTTACTTAATTGACATCCGAAAATAATTTCCTTAATTAACATTTATTATTCCAGGAGTCATTCCTAGTCAGAGAAAGGGGAAAAAGAAAAAAAAGGCTCCGGTTTTGTCGGAGCGAGGGATT